GCAGAGTAATATTCCATTGTGTATATGTACCACAGCTTTCCTATCCTTTCGTCTGCTGATGGACATCTAGGTTGATTCCATGTCCTGGCTATTGTAAACAGTGCTGTGATGAACATTGGGGTACATGTGTCTCTTTCAGTTCTGGTTTGAGAGGATCTTCTCAGTCCTGGGATTGAACCTATGTCTCCTGCATTGGCAGGCAGATTCCTTACCACTGAGCCACGAGGGAGTCACCAGCCCTAAATGACTTTACTTGAATCTTTAAAATGTCTTCATAGTCCTTCTGCTGCTAATAATGGCTAGAGCTCCAGCAGATAATTTTTGGATCATGAGGAATCTCAAGAATGGGAACTGCACATCAAGATACAGAGCAACACAATATAGCATCCTAGTTTCCTGGCATCAAGGAGCTACCACATCACACCTGAAAGGTCACTTCTAGATTTTCATTTTAGAAATAAACATGCAGCCACACTGAAATAAGAATTGGTAAAAAAAACAAAACAAAAAGAAACTACTGACTATTGGTTTGTCAGAGTAGAGCAGAGTTGGGGGCATCTCCCTCATAATGGCTATGAAAACAGTTTCTAGAGTCAAACTGATTAGCTCCATCATTCATTAACTATATGATACTGAATAAGCAATGTAATGGCTCTAAGCCTCATCGTATTAACAGAGAAGATATATTAATAGAGTCTACTGCATGGGTTATGTGAGAAATGGTTTAGACTGTTCATTAAAGTGGTTCTCACAGTGACAGCACATAGTAGGTGCTCAATAAATGTCAAAGAAAAGTCAGGTAGGCACTGGGTAATGGTACAATTTTTAAAATACATTTCATGAAATGCAAATGAAAACTGCAATGAGGTTTCGCTACATATCAGTCAGAATAAACATCATTAAAAAGTCTACAAATAACACATGCTAGGGAGGGTGTGGAGAAAAGGGAACCCTCTTATGCTGTTGGTGGGAATGTCAGTTGGTGAACCCACAATGGAAAACAGTATGGAGGTTCTTCAGAAAACAAAAAATACAATTACAATATGACTCAGCAATTCTATTCCTGGGCATATATATACATATATATGGAAAAAACAATAATTTAAAAAGATACAAGCACCCCTATGTTCAGAGTAGCGCCATTCACAATAACAAAGACATGGAAAAAACCTAAATGTCTGTTGACAGATGAAAAGATAAAGTGTGATGCGTGTGTGCGCGTGCGCGCGCACACACACACACACACACACACAAAGGAATATTACTCAGCCATAAAAAAGACAAAATAATGCCATCTGTAGCAACACAGATGCAACTGGAGACTATCATACTAAGTGAAGTAAGTCAGAAAGAGAAAGACAAGTACCATATGACATCACTTAATGTATGGACTCTAAAATATGACACAAATGAACCTATCTAGGAAAAAGAAACTCAGTCACAGACTGAGTGTCACAGAGAGAGCAGGTTTGTTGTTGCCAAGAGGAAGGAGTGTAGGGGCGGGATGGACTGGGAGTTTGGGGTTAGTAGATGCAAACTATTACCTATAGGATGCATAAACAACAAGGTCCTACTGTGTAGCACAGGGAACTATATTCAACATCCTGGGATAAACAATAATGGAAAAGAACATGAAAACCAGCGTGTGTATATATATAAACTGGGTCACTTTGCTCTACAGCAAAAATTAACACATTGTAAATCAACTGTAGTGAAATAAACACATTTCATGATTTCAGAATCATATTAAATCTGCAGCTTAAAAACAAATTAAAATACGGAACATAGAATATACTGTGTAAGCTTCAAATCATTATATTAATGATTTTTTTTAACCTTTTAAATTGAATGTGTTATTACTTTACTATCTTCCCTTGTGGTTGAGTGCTAAAGAATCTGCCTGCTAAGGTAGGAGATGCAGGTTTGAACCCTTGGTTGGGAAGATCCTCTGAAGAAGGAAATGGCAACCCACTCTAGTATTCTCGCCTGGGAAATCCCATGGACAGAAGGAGCCTAGTGGGCTACAGTCCATGGAGTCACAAGAGTTGGGCATTACTTCGCGAATGACAATATCACTTTACAATATGACCTCTAATAACATTGACAAAGTATAGTCACTTGATTGATGCATGCTAAATGATTTGTTACTATTGCTTGATTTTTTTTTTTTTAACAAAAAGCTAAACAATGGGGAAAAAATGGAAAACCATCATGAGGTGAAGAAATTAGTTTCAGAAACAATTCAGTTTTATATTTATAAGGTATTTAATTCTACTTAAAGCAGAACTCCCACTCCCAAGTTTCATTTTAAAGTTTATTCTTTTGGAAGCCAGTATGGAGAAATGGAAAGAACCCAAGTTTTGCAGTCAAATAAACGTGAATTCAAAGATAGTTTCCATCTCTTACTACGGTAATGGTAATACAGTGTGGTTGATTAGCATTAAAAATATTTCATAGGAATTGAGGAATGCTGAATCAAATTATTTTGTGTTCATATATAATCATAATTCTATGTTAACATTGTAATTTTATTAGCAGCACACTCATTCTAAACTATTTAAGACATATTTACCACACTGAGAAATAAGTAAAAAGGTTTGCTGTTCTCATTTTAAAAGTATCTTCCAATTCTTAAATACTTTGTACCATTCTGGTTACTGAACCATAAGACGGAAATAAAAGCTGGGGAAGTTAGAACAGCCACCATAATCAAGGAAACAGATAAAGGATTTTCACACTAAGAACTTTACAAAGAAAAGCCTTTTGTTAGGAATACAGAATTCTCAGTGACCAAGTGTTAGAAAATTAGGAAGAGTGTAGACGCTGTACCTCAGTGGGGGCATATTTAAAAAAGCTCTTCCCACAAATATTTAAATAGGACCTCACTACAAGACTCTGAAACATGAGCCTTGCCACTGATCAGCTATTCCTCTCTGTGAGGTATTTGAGGAAAGACCACACCTGAGGTGGCAACAAGATATAAATTCTGTATTCCTAGCTAGTGGGTGTGTGCTAAGTCGCTTCAGTCGTGTTGGACTCTTTGTGACCCCGTGGACTGTAGCCTGCCAGGCTCCTCTGTCCTTGGAATTCTCCAGGCAAGAACATTGGAGTGGGTTGCCATGACCTTCTCCAGGGAATCTTCCGAAATAGGGATCAAACCGGCATTTTTTATATGTCCTGCAGACAGGCAGGTTCTTTACCACTAGCGCCACTTGGGAAGCCCATTCTTAGTTGGTACACAGGTCCTAAGGTTACAAAATCCCCTTTGGAGATACGTAAACAAGCTTCGATAGACCCTATAAAGAGCTCCTTTTGTCTAAACTAGGTTGGCGCCAGTGGACAAAAATCAAATCCAGACATGAAGCAGAAAAGCCTCCCCTGTCACTTCCATTTTCAACAGCAAACCCTTACCGCAGGAAAGAGTAATGCAGACTGCTTCAGACGAGAAAAATCAGGAGGTGAGAGCCTGCACCAGGGCCTACAGAAAAATGGCCTGGACCTGAGTTTGCTTTTTGGGATCATCATAGATGATGAGATGGATGGATAGTATCACCGACTCCTTGGACATGAGTTTGAGCAAGCTTCAGGAGTTGGTGATGGACTGGGAAGCCTGGCATGCTGCAGTCCATAGGGGTCACAAAAAGTCGGACACGACTGAACTGACTGACTGATACAGTTAAGTATCAGTTTCTTAGTAGGAAGGGGCGGTATCTAAAGTGCTGAATTTTTTTTTTTAAATCATTTTACCCATCTCTCTTGTTATGGATTACACACGTCTCTTTCTCTCTAAGATACAGAAGACTTCATGAAGACTTTCTTATATCTTTGGGTACCCACAGCCTAGCCGGATACTGAACCTAGAGTATATGCCAGTGTTTTTTAAGTGAGTAAATATTTATTCAGGTTATTGAGTAGGAAAAAAGGTACTACAGATGCATTCTTGAGACGCATATAAGCCTTGTATGGAGCTGTGCTTTCTCAACGCCTCTGTTTTACTTTATGAACAGAGTAATGAGTATGCTGCTGTTGCTGGGTATCTGACAACGGAAGCACCTTTCAGTTACCTGCATTTGCATTGCTTCGGTTGGTGAGTTTTTCTTCTTCTCCCGGGTTTTCTGTTTCTGTCACCACCATCTTCTGGGTTTTTCTGAGCCACCGTGTGGACTATATCTGGGATAAAGTCAGAAGTGCTTTCCTTCCCCCTGGGGTGTGAGTATAGTTGTGGTGGTGTGGTGTAGAGGTGTGGGCAAAGAATCATTTCTTTTCGTAGTAAGACGTTTATTTCACAATTTTTTGCTAGTCTCTTTCCCAGCCGCCCTGACTTAAAGGGAAAATGGATCACGATCAAAGTAGCCCTAACTCCTAGTGTGTTTTTTAGAGGTTTTCTGACGAGTCAGGATCCAATAACATGTAAAAAAAAAAAAAAAAAAGATACACTATGGTTGTGATATACATAAATAAATAAATAAATAAAAAATAAATAAAATTAAAAAAAAAAAAAAAAGCAGAGGATCGCGGGGGCTCGAGTGTGTCCTCTCCTTTAGAAAGCCAAAGCGCCGGGCGGAGCGAGTCGGGAAGGCTTGCGGCTCGGTGCGCATGCTCGCAGGGCTGGGCTCGAGAATAGCGTCCCAGCCTTCCGTCCAGAGACTTCCGGGAGGCGAGAAGTGGGCGGAGGCAGGGCCGGAAGCACGGGGGCGGGCGCCTGGTGCTTAACCTGGCTCCTGGGCGCGGCGCTTCAGGGCTCGGTTGGTGAACCGCTGATTCTGTGGGAAGTCTTAGGTCTGGTTACAGTGATTTCAAGATTTCCCTGCGGCTAGAAGTCGCCTGGGAGAAATCTGACACCAATCAGCAGGTGGGGCGATAGCCCCTGTTAGGTCCTTCATTTACAGAAATTCTTCCCGGGCCTTCTGAGTTTGTAGACGACTTTTTGCTCCACCGTTTCTTCTAGCTGCTCTGTTCTTAATCCTTTTGCAGCCGCCCACCCCTCTCCTCCCGCCGTCATGTATGACCGGGCTCCCCGAGTGCTTAGATTGGCTGAAGGTGGCAGCACTGAGGATCGTGTGGGTCCTGGATCTTACCAGGTTCCCTACCTGAAGCAGCAGGCAACAGGTAAGAGGTAGAGAAAGGCAAGCCTTTTGTGACAGGCGCCTCACTTTCAGCCTGCCCCGCTCGTGTGTGCCTGAATGAAACACTATAGTACAACTGCATACGTAAACAGTATGAAATAGGCAGGGAAAATTCTATCCCTGTATTTACAGATGGTAAACCAATTTTTCCCATTTCACTAGACCATTAAGCGTATTGCCTTTTTGACCTTACAATGGTTTTTTACATCTTAGTTTAAATGCTGCAGATTCGATCTGCGATTTTGATTTCCGTGTCCCATTGACTGTCAGTCAGTTCAGTCGGTCAGTCGTGTCCGCCTCTTCGCGACCTCCATGGACTGCAGCATGCCAGGACTCCCTGTCTATCCACAACTCTCGGAATTTACTCAAACTCATGTCCATTGAGTCAGTGATGCCATCCAACCATCTCATCCTCTGTCGTCCCCTTCTCCCCGCTTCAGTCTTTGTCAGAATCAGGGTCTCTTCAAATGACTGAGTTCTTTGCATCAAGTGGCCAAAGTATTGGGAGTTTCAGCTTCAGCATCGTCTTTACAATGAATATTCAGGACTGATTTCCTTTAAGATGGACTGGTTGGATCTCCTTGCAGTTCAACAAGGGACTCTCAAGTCTTCTCCAACACAGTAGTTCAAAAGCATCATTTCTTCGGGCCTCAGCTTGCTTTATAGTCCCAACTCTCACATCCATATATGACTACTGGAAAAACCATAGCTTTGATTAGATGGCCCTTGTAAGCAAGGTAATGTCTCTGCTTTTTAATATGCTATCTAGGTTGGTCATAACTTTTCTTCCAAGGAGCAAGTGACTTTTATTTCATCGCTGCAGTCACCATCTGCAGTGATTTTGGAGCCCAAGAAAATAAAGTCTGTCACTGTTTCCACTGTTTCCCCATCTATTTGCCACGAAGTAATGGGACCAGATGCCATGACCTTAGTTTTCTGAACTAAGCCAACTTTTAAGCCAACTTTTTCACTTTCCTCTTTCACTTCCAACAAGAGGCTCTTTAGTTCCTCTTCACTTTCTGCCATAAGGGTGGTGTCATCTGCATATCTGAGGTTATTGATATTTCTCCAGGTGATCTTGATTCCAGTTTGTGCTTCATCCAGCCCAGCATGTTTTGTGATGTACTCTGTGTATAAGTTAAATAATCAGGGTGACAATATACAGCCTTGATGTACTCCTTTCCCAATTTGGAACCAGTCTGTTGTTCCATGTCCAGTTCTAACTGTTGCTTCCTGACCTGCATGCAGATTTTTCAAGAGGCAGGTCAGGTGGTCTGGTATTCCCATCTCTTGAAGAATTTTCCAGAGTTTGTTGTGGTCCACACAGTCAAAGGCTTTGGCATAGTCAATAAAGCAGAAGTAGATATTTTTCTGGAACTCTGTTGCTTTTTTGATGATCCAGTGGATGTTGGCAATTTGATCTCTGGTTCTTCTGCCTTTTCTAAAACCAGCTTGAATATCTGGAAGTTTACAGTTCATGTATTGTTGAAGCCTGGCTTGGAGAATTTTGAGCATTACCTTGCTAGCATGTGAGATGAGTGCAAATGTGCAGTAGTTTGAGCATTCTTTGGCATTGCCTTTCTTTGGGATTGGAATGAAAACTGATCTTTTCCAGTCCTGTGGCCACTGCTGAGTTTTCCAAATTTGTTGGCATATTGAGTGCAGCACTTTCACAGCATCATATTTTAGGATTTGAAACAGCTCCACTGGAATTCCATCCCCTTGACTAGCTTTGTTTGCAGTGATGCTTCCTAAGGCCCACTTGACTTCTTATTCCAGATTGTCCGGCTCTAGGTTCGTGATCACACCATCGTGATTATCTGGGTTGTGAAGATCTTTTTTTATAGTTCTTCCGTGTATTCTTGCCACATCTTAATATCTTCTCCTTCTGTTAGGTCCATACCATTTTTGTCCTTTATTGTGCCCATCTTTGCATGAAATGTTCCCTTGACTATATGAGTCTCCAAATCACCTGTGTGCTTCTTACCACCTTCTGTCTCTGTAATCCTGCCTGCCTCACACACCTTTCCTAGAAATATTTACTAAGATAAAACTTTTATATTTGTTTTGGAATATCATTTTTTCAGGTAGATGCTTTCTATCTGACCATCACCATCTACTTGAACTTACTTAATGAGAGCTCCTTTATCCCACATTCCATAAGAAGAACTTTACTCATTGAGAGGTGAAATAGGAATGGATAATTTAAGTACTTATTTGCTCTCATTTGTTTGCAGTTAGTGGCTGGGATAACTTTTAATAAGTAACGTAACTTCCTTTCTGCTTTTTCTAATCTGATTTTTTGTGGTGCTTGATACCATCAAATTAAACTTTTTTCCTTTTTAGCCTACATTTTCCCTACTCCCACACTATTCCTTTATTTTTGAATAAGTGCTAGGATCCATTATTCCGTTGACATGATTGATGAGATTAGGATGATAGGCTGATTTAGGTTTCTTTGGAGTACTAATTTGTCTTTTGTCATTGTTTTAATCTTGAATTTTACTGCCTTTCAGCTTCTGATATTAATATCAGTGTTTTTGGAGCTTATTATGTGTCTTTATTTAATACAGCTGAGTTATAAGCATTACCTCCCTACCAATTTATTAGCCACCAACAACCACCCAGAATGCCTACACTTTTCTATCTTTATTTTATTTTGACACAACTTACCACTCTTTTTTTTAGAGATGATTCTTTCCCTGGTGTCTGTAACATCTTTTTCCTGGTTCTTTTCCTAACTGTTGTAACAGTGCCTGATAGTGTTTGGGACACAATGAACATTTGTTAAATGCTGAATCAAAGTATCATTTTCCCCTCTCAAACCAATACTCCATAGTCTTCTTTAAAGATTTTTATTTTTCTAAATACCTTTTACATGTTTATATACTGTACCTTCCATCATTTGCTTGTTACTTTTCTCATGTTTACTTTCTCATTCAAATCCACAGCTTCAACTGCTATCAATATTCTGATGACTCCTGTGATACAGGTGTTTCATATCTCTAAGATGAGCTTTCTTCTGATAAGATCGTTTATTTTTTTTAGGCATCTCTACCTAAAGTGTCTGAACTTACCAGTTTCCCCAGAATTACTGGCCCCTTTGAAAAAAAAAATCCTTATCAGGCAATTAGAAACTTTAAGCTTTGAAATTACTGTAGACTTCTTTTTTTCCACCTCTAATCACTCTCATTGATCTTAGGACCTATTGTTTCTCTCTTCTCTTTATCTCTCAAACTAGTTCCCTTTCTTCATTTAACTGCCCTTGACTTAGTTTGGGATTTGTTATTTTTATTTTGAAATAAGGGCTTCCCTGGTGGCTCTGAAGGTAAAGAATCTGCCTGAAATGCACAAGACCTGGGTTTGTTCCCTGGGTTGGGAAGATCCCCCGGAGAAGAGAATGGCAACCCGCCCCAGTATTCTTGTCTGGAGAATTCCATGGGCAGAGGAGCCTGGTGGGCTACAGTCCATGGGGTTGGCAAAAAGTAGGACACAACTGAGCGACTAACAGTTTTGTCAATAAAATATTTCTCGTTTCCCTCTATTTCAGTCTCTAACAACGACTGTTTTATGTCTAATGTGATCTACACCTCCACCAACACTTAACCAACATATTAGCAATTCCAGCCTTGCATTGTCTATAAATTCATGCTCACTCACCTCCATTCTTTTGTACCTGCTACTACCTTTGCTGGGTATGTTCTCTCTTCTTTCGTTTCTTGGCTAATTACTACTTATGTCTTGAGCCTCAGGTGAAGTTTTTCTCTGACTCCACTCTGTCCCAGGTCTTTCTTGTTTGACTCCTTAATAACTCAAAGGACTTTGGTACTGTATTGTAATTATGTGTTTACTTACCTGGCTGCCCCACTAAAGTGTGAGATTTTTGAGGGCAGTAACAAAGATCTCCACTGTATTAGTCTCAGTTTTTAGCTCAATACTGTAACACCTAAGTGCTTAGTTAAAAAACAATAGCAAGACTATAATTCTTGAAGTAAAGTTTGAAAAATCTGATGAGTTACATGTGTCGGGTTATAAGAGTTTTAAATTCTTCTTTGTGTGAACTCTGATTGTAGATAAGTAAGGTTTGCAAGGTCCTTTTACTGCTTTGTAGAATTATGCCTTCTTGACCTATGAAGGAAGCTAGGAAATTCCATTCTTGGGAACTTTGAGCAAATGCATCATATGGAATCCTGTTTTAGCAGTACTCAGCAGACATGCTAATAATAATAAGTAGAGGGTATAGGCACCTCTTTAGTCATTTTTCTGCCAGATTCCCTGGCAAGGTAATTGAAAGTAGCTGTTACTTCTTTCCTAGGTACATAGTGCTTTTCACTTCTTTGAGATCAGTAACACTGGGCTATATAGAAGTATACACAGTTGTTTAAGGGTCAGGTAAATCTTGTAGAGTATGATGTAGGAAATGTTGGGAACTTTATGTAATTTACTTGTTGCCTTGAATTACACAAGAAGAGAAACAACTTAGAGTCTTACAACTTCAGAGGAACCTTTCTCTCTTCATTACCATTCTTCACTTACTGTACCCTGCTTGGTCAGTCCTCTAGTGTACTGTCTTCATATTTTCCTTAGGAAATTCTTTCCACATTAATTTGCAAACTTCATTGCTTTGACTTTTGTCCAGCTGATCAGGGAGACTGTTTTCTACACAGGATTTGCAGCCTGAAAGGAATAGGACTGATTTCATGATTCAGATTTCATGAGTGGGAGAGAGAATGGATATTCCAGATCCAGATTAGTGAAAGCTGCTCCTGATTTTCTTTTGAATTATCTGAGAAGTTAGAAAATCTTATCTCATTAAAGCAAATCTTTGCCATAAATGACCAGCCTAGTAAAATATGATAAAAACATAGTCCCTTTAATAATGGACAGCTCCTGGCATTATTGTGCTAAGGAATATTTCATTGTTTTCTGAGCTTGATTTACGTAATAAATGGTACTCCATGTTAAATGTATTAGTTATCTGTATTGGTTCTCTGTTATCTAAACTGGATAATGCTGGCTGTTAATATATTCTTTGCCAAATTTCTTCTTTTATAGGGAAGCTGTTAGTTTTATCTGCCGTAGAAGCATGAGCTGTCCATGGACTTACACTCCTCTGCCTATGTGCTGGTCTTACACTCCTGCCTATGTGCTTATGACAACAATAATGACTTTATCTTATTGGCCATTCAGAATTCAGGACACCATTTGAGGGAATGCAATTTATCTTTATTTAAGTTTAAATTAAAAAATGTGATTGCTGTAAATGTTGATATCCCTAAAGATGAGTATGTTTCAAAGTTCTAGTTATTGCTTCTATGTGAAGAATGCCCTGCTTGCTTTGTATCTGTAACTGTGGCTGTAGAACTTGTACTTTATCCCCCAGCTGTTCACCTTCTTTCTCAGAAAATAGACTGACTTTCATTGCTTCATCCAGTCTGATTTATTTTTTGCTATTGGTGCCTCAAACTTAATATATCTCAAATTGAACTTATTCTTCTCAATCTTATCCTCCTACATTCTTCATTTCTTCTTTCTACCTGACAGTTTGATTTATCATTTATTGTTGGAACTTCGCATGTCAATATATTCTATGTCTCAAATCAAACTTTTTGTCTTTCATTTCACCAATCCTAATGTGCCAGAACCCTCTACTCCTATATTTTATACCTTAATTATTGGAAACACTGTTTGTAATCTAAGTATTTGTTTATTTGTCTGGCTTTCCCTCTATCTGAGGCCAGGGTTTTAGCTTATTCATTATTGCACTCTCATTGCTTCTCTCTGACACATAATAAAGCACTTAATATTGCTGAATGAATGACTAAAGGTGTAGTTTAGAGTATCATCTATTAATTCAACATTTATTGTTTAGTGTGCAGGGCAGTATAATAGGGAGTCTGGGAATGTCCTGATTTTAGCACTACCAGTCATGTGTCCTGGGCAAACTGAGACAGTTTGTCACCATAACTGTAAACCATAGGTAAATAGGCATATAATTGTGAATAAAGCAGAAAATCCCCTTCTCTTATGGAGCTTATTAGTAAAAACATTTTAATTTTCTTGTGGTTTTACTTGAGGTCAATATTTTATATAAACTTTTAACCTATTGATGAAAGATTTTATGTGATTAATTTTGGGAAACTTCAGTGAAGATTTTATGAGCACTGTCTCTTTTGAACACATGGGCTATTGGAGGTTCCCCCCCTTTTATATGAATTTCAGTATTTTGCAATTCATTTTATATTTCTTAAGTAGATTCATTTAGAATCTCTGCCACATTTTGATGACAGTTGCCTCAGAACTAGCCCTGAGCTTAGCTTTCTTCATTTTCATACCTCATACCTCACATTATCCCAGTGTCTGTATACACCTAAATTTTAAAAAACATGCCTTTAATTGTGAGATGAAATACAGAAAATCACATAAAATGTAAACATACAACTTAAAAAGTGAATATGCAAAGAAATATGACATTGCAAAATTTTCTTTTTCATTCATAACCCATACCTTCTCCCCTACTGGTAAGCACTATTCTAATTTTTATGGCAATTACTTCCTTGCCTTTCTTAATGGATCGTTGAATCATATTGGTGAAATGATCCCTTTAACATAATGAAATGTCTCTTATTCCTGGTATTCTTTGTTCTAAAATCTTGTTGGATTTTAATTTAGTCCCACCAGGTTTTTTTGATGCATGGATGTATGATGCATCTTTTCTCGTCCTTTCATCTTTAATCTCCGTCTTTATGTTTTAAGAGGGTTTCCTATAGACACCATGAAGTTAGATGTTGCTTTTTTTTAAAATCAAGTCTGGCAGTCTCTTTTAATTGGGGTGTTTAGACATTTTCCATTTAATTTTGTTACCAATATTGTGTTTAAATTTACTCTTAGATTTTGCTAGCTATTTTTCTCATCTGTTCTTTGTTTCCCTTTGCTTCTTTCCCTGTCATAGTTGAATGATTTGAATTTTTAAAAAGATGGTTCTGTTTTTATCTCTGCTACTGGTTTGCTAGCTGTAGCTTTCTTTTATTTTTTAGTGGTTCCTCTAGAGTTTACAATATACATCTCTAACTTAACACTATCTTCAAATAATATTGTACCACTTTATGTATAGTATATGAGCCATACATCTTCTGTTTTCCTCATCTCATTCTCTGTGCTATTGTGGCTAAATATTTTCTATTTATATATGCTGTAATGCCACAATAAATCAAAATTATTTTTGCTTAAAACAATTATTTTTTAAAGTGATTAGGAATGAGAAAAAATGTCTTGTTAACCCACATAAAAGTAGTTATAAATCATAATAAATTAAAAAGTAGTTATAAATCATAATAAATTAAAAAGTAGTTATTAATCTCTTTTATATCCTCATGTACATCTTTCTTCTATCTTGTTGAACATATGAAGAATATTTACAATAGATACTATAATGTTCTTTGTGCTAATTCCATTTTCTCATTTCAAGATCTATTTCTTTTCATTGACTTTTCTCCAGTTTATAGGACATATTTCTCAGCCTCTTGGAAGAACAATCTCTGGTTGTTTGCACTATTCCCTTGATATAATCTGTAGCTTGGTTTGTGTGTGCCTATATGTGTGTTTCATTTGAAATCTGTACTTGTTCTTTGGTTGCGTACCCCATTTTGGAACATTTCAACTTCTGTACTGGATTTCTCTGCTCTATCAGACAACCCTTGTCTTTTCAAAATGGACCCTGGCTTCCTTTTAAGGATTTCTGTTCTTTTGGTCCTTGTGTGGTTTTTGTTTGTTTTTGTTTTGAATTTCAAATTCAAACCATCAGTCACTAAATTAACACCCAGAGTTTTAACATCATTCATGAATTTTTTTCGAATCACCTCAGTGTTGTTGAGAACTTCCCCTCCTTTTGACCCCCTGGGCACTTTCACACTTCAGATATTTTTACATGTTTACAATTATTTTAGCATTTATAGCACTTAATGCTTCACTAGGTTTTTTTTTAAGGGTAAGGTATGTATTATACTCACCTCTTTTGTGCTTCAGACCTTACACAAATAAATCTTGATTTCAGTTGCATTTTAATACATGAGGGCCTCAAAAAAACATTATTTCTGGTTTAAAAAATATATTTTATTAGTCCAGATTAGCAAGCTTTTAAACTGTACAGATTATTGCCATAGATCCTCATAGTGTACATTTTGCTTAGGTGTACAAGATTTTCACAAGTTTTGAGTCCTCACTTTCATCCTTTTATTACCTGTTGAATATAGTTGCTCTGTTTTCTCTCATTGTTTTCTTGAATATCAATGTAACTTAAACTGTGCTCATTTTCTTGATATATTTCTTGAAAAGTTTTTGTCAGCCTTTCAGCAGACTAAGTGTGTCTAATAAGTTCATTTACTGAGTATGGCAGTAATGTCAGTAATCTTATGCTTGTATCTTGTATCCAAGAAATACTGAGTGCCAAACATGCACCCAAGCAAGGAAGTGAAGATGAAAATGTTAGTCACTTAGTCGTGTCTAACTCTCTGAAACATTATATTAATTACTTGCTGTAAGCTCACTTTAAATTATTTCTGTCTAGGCTCTCTCTACAAATTCATATATGTTATTCGGCATAATTAATGAAAATGGAAGTGTTAGTTGCTCAGTCGTGTTCAACTCTTTGCAACTTCATGGACTGTAGCCTGCCAGGCTCCTCTGTCCATGGCATTTTCCAGGCAAGACTACTGGAGTAGGTTGCCATTTCCTTCTCCAGAGTACCTTCTCGACTCAGGGATCAAACTCAGGTCTCTCGCATTGTAGGCAGACTCTTAACTGTGTAAGCCACCAGGGAAGTTGTATAATTAATAGGTTTCTTCAATATATAAAACTGTGATCTTCTGAGGGTGAAAATATTTTGTCAGTTAAATAGAACTATTTTCATCCCAACCAAATATGCTTGGAAGAAAAAAAGCTTTTGTTTTCTTTAGGTAGTTTTTCTTTTGTTTAGTAAGTTCAATTCTATAGGTTTTTAATTTAATATATATTAATATTAATTCCACTCTTACATAGAATTTTTAAAATGCAACAACAACTTCTGTGGCTAGACATTAGTTCTGATAATATATAGTCCCAGCAATTGACGTACCAAATGATTTTATACATTTTTAGTGCTTTTTCTCTGAAATCATTAGAATCCTGTCTTATCTGCCAATGATATGATTTTACTTATAGGTGGCTATGCACCATTCCTGTCTTTGACTGCCAGGGAAAGTACTTTTACTGTCATCTCTAACACTGAGAAAGATGTTCCAGGTCCAGGACACTATAATGTTTCAGAAAAGCAGGTAAATTTACAGCAGTCATTATAATTGTCTGAGTTAATAAAAATCATGCTTTCTTCCTCTAATAGACTAATGTGTCACTTGCCATATTATATTTTCCCTTTATATCATTTTCTTTCACCTTTTAATCTGTATTTTGCAATAGAATAAGAGAAAAAGAAGTGTGTTCAGTGGTAATTGTCTGGTGGGTGTTTTTCATCAGTGTATATAACCTATAGGACAAAAGCATTGTCCTTGAGATTCCTGAATGGGAGAATAGGGCTACTGAATTAACTAAGGCCCATGAAAGTTGTACAGATGGTCAAGATACGTAAAATAAGAATAACATCAGGGCGCAGGAATTGGTTTGTGCTCTGTACTCTAAAGCTGTAGCTGTGGCCATTGTCTCCTATTTCTATACCGTCTCAAGAGGCTGTGACCAGAAAATCTTCAATGGTTCATTTATGTTCAGAAACAATATTTTAATTCCAATATTTTCATAATCATTGACATCAAGTTTTACCCTTTTCACATACATTTTGCATTCAGTCAGAAACAGTGTTTTAATTCCAGTATTTTCATAATCATTAACATCAAGTTTTACCCTTTCACATACATTTTGAAGTCATAGTAAGTCCTACCTGACCCAAGAAGACCTATATCTCCCCTGTTGGAGGCCCAGATCCAATTGTTGATGCATTAATTTTTGTATTAGACTTCTGAATTATTAATAGCAATGTTTTCTACCAGTTATGGGGTTTTGGTTGCAAGCAGTCAAATGAATTTTTAGGACAGATACTAGGTTTCTAATAAATTTATAGGTAAGGTACTTGGTTGGTTCATAGACTTGAAGGAAGAATTGTTCAAACAGGTCTTTAAGAAGGATAAAGTGAAAGTGAAAACCGCTCAGTCGTGTCTGACTCTTTGCAACCCCATGGACTGTAGCCTGCCAGGCTCCTCTGTCCATGGAATTCTCCAGGCCAGAATACTGGAGTGGGTAGCCATTCCCTTCTCCAGGGGATCTTCCCCACTCAGGGATCAAACCCGGGTCTCCCACATTGCAGGTGGATTCTTTACCAGCTGAGCCACCAGGGAAGCTCTGAAGAAGGATAGGACTAAGGCAATTCCAGGTATTTCAGTAGTAAGAACTTCTGCATTATTCAGTGGCAAACTTCCATTAGATAACGTAATTCCATAACTTCCTTCCACTTTTTTTTTTTATGTCTAACAACACTAAAGATGAAAATTCTCAGTGGGGAAAATCTGGTCTGGTTTTATTATGGACCCACAGCTGTGATTCCTGGGTCAGGGGTTCATGTGTTTGGAAGTTCCTTTTAAAACACAAAATACAGTAGGTTTGATTGTCCCAAGAGTGGTAAATATGGTATTTTGAGCAAATAATAGAAGGGAAGCTGGACAGATAAAAGCAATAGATTTCCATTACATTTCATGCTTTGACTGCCTAGTTCTCCTCTCTCATGCACATGAAATATACACACTTCTTCCTATATATGTAATTTTAAAAGTTCAGTTATTTTATGTATAATTTAATTAGTGTTTTGCTACTACCTTTAAAGATGGTATTACAGTGTCACTGCTAAACGAATCCTGGATCTTTAGATTAAGACTACTTCTCATTCTTGACATTCCTGTTTCATTACTCTGCATTTTATAGATTTGATGGTAAACATAACATGAACTTTTATAAAGAAGTGGTTAGGAGTGTGGGCTCTGGGGCTAAACTGCTGCTGCTAAGTCACCTCAGTCGTGTCCGACTTTGTGCGACCCCATAGACGGCAGCCCACCAGGCTCCCCTGTCCCTGGGATTCTCCGGGCAAGAATACTACTGTGGGTTGCCATTTCCTTCTCCAATGCATGAAAGTGAAAAATGAGAGTGAAGTCGCTAAGTTGTGTCCGACTCTTAGTGACCCCATGGACTACAGCCTACCAGGCTCCTCTATCCATGAGATTTTCCAGGCAAGGGTACTGGGGTGGGGTGCCACTGCCTTCTCTGCTGGAGCTAGAGTACCTAGACTCAAAATCTGTCTCTGCTTACTAGCTGTGAGACTTAATCTTAATCACTTAGTCTCTTCAGGCCTTTGTTTCTTCATCTATTAAGTAGCAGCAGTAATTTGGTAGGCTTTTTTTTCCTAAGGATTAAATATATTAATAAGCATTTAGAATAGTATCTTAAAGTACTGAAGGTTGGCCTTCAGTAAATTTTAACCATTATTAGTGTTGCCATTTTACATTAGAAAGGGGAAAGAAATAGAGGGAAAATTAAAAAAAAAAGTGATGTATGAAGCAAGGAAATATAGGTAAGGACCTGTTCTGTTTCTGTAACTGAACAGAAGGCTATAGCTTAAGATTTTTCCATTACTCATTCCATGTTCCTTTAACAAGAACTTCATCTGCTGGAGTTCTAAGCCTAGTGAGATAAATAGACTTTTCAGATCTAAGGTGTCTGAGTTCTTGGTTCTTAGGCTTGGATTTCGTCCTTTAAATAAACTTGCTCTTAGCATTTTCACCTACCGTTAGAAGGCTCTGCAGGGTGTCCCCATCTTCCATCCTACCACACTCCTCCTGGTACTCATTAGTCCTATTTTTCTGTCCTAGTCAGGACAGAAAATTAATTTCCCCAGTCAATACACAAACCTCTTTATTTTGTTTTCTGCTTGGTAGGAAAGAATGTTAAATGATCACTTGGTGGTTTCAACTTCCAGTTCAGGGGAACATGTCTTGCTTTTCCACGAACTCTTAAAATGTCCAGAAAACTAGAGCCTAGAGCACAAAAAGCAAAACATTAAATAGTGGGACATTAGATGTAGTCATTAGAAGTGTCACTCCTGCTTCCACTCCCTGGCTTACAGACCAGACCAGCATGGGTCTGTGGGCTTTCTAGTTCTGACGGTATTTCCCTCATTAAGCCTGATATGTAATTCTAGTATTCAAAGAGGGAAATACAGTAAAAATACATAATATGTAGGTTTCAAACTTATCAAATGTGATAGTTACCAGGATGTTGTAGTGTTACTTTAATACTGATTTTATTCAATTCTCTTGTAAAATAATGTACAATTTAAGTAAAATTTTATTTCATTCTCAATTGGGTACATTTCTTAGATTTTAAGAGTAAGAAATAAGGAAGTGTGCTTTTTTGTGAAATGGATGATCTAAGAAAAAGTTCTAGTATTCTCTACTTTTCTCCTTAAAACTGTAAACAGATGCCTGGAAAATATTTATTTCCTTGCTTTAAAAAATGACTTATTACTTATTTACACAGTTGCTGTTAAATTTTGGAGTTTTAAGTTGAAGTCTTGTAGAACTTTTAGAAGTTCAAGAAGTGTGAATTTATCATACTATTTGAAAAATAAGTCATTTCATTTTAAACAACTGAATTAGGAAACATGTTTGTAATGTGACATAGGTTACATGTTATGTAAATAATGTATTGGATAATAAAGGGATAATCTTATTGGAAATTAATGCATATATTTGGTAATTTATTTTTATACTTTTCTTTTGGAAGCATAGATTGAAATGTTGCTTTCTATGGGCAGTTAGTAAATATCATTTAAAGACTTCAAATGAAATGTTAAAAAACCCAAAATGTGGGTTGTATTTGTGAGGACCTGCCTCCACTGCTAAATGTAGCAGTAGAATACTTGAAGCTTTTATGAAAGCAGAAGATTTAGGAGTTGAAATTTTTTCCCCCTATTTGGTCTTCTCTATTTCTGTCTTCCTCTTATGGTCATTTCACTTTGGCTATGGTTGAGACCATTATTCTAAAGTTGGAGATGGGGCATAATTTTTGCCTTTATAGCTCTTGGCCAGTTATAGGCAAAGCAGTTTCCTTTAGCATATCTGAAGTATGTTAATTTTTTTCAAGAGGAAAAGAAAAGTAGAAAAGAACATGAAGGAAATTTGCTCTGTAGAAAAGAACCCAAAGAAAATTCAGAAAATAAAAGAAGTAGAAGAACCAAATTTACAAAGTGCAAACTTCTGATCCTTTGATAATTAACCTATTAAGTCACATACTTTGTTTTGTTCATATCCAACTTCCTAGGATGATTCCCATTCCAAAAATTCAGTACAAATTTCACTGTTTTCTGGTTGTCTTCTAGCATCAGACCTGTTTATGCAAGGTAGATACCATTTTGTTCCTTCCTACATGAGAATGGCCCTGGAGAAGGAACTGGCAACCCACTCCAATATTCTTGCCTGGAGAATCACATGGACAGAGGAGTCTGGTGGTGTAGAGTCCGTGGGGCTGCAAAGAGTTGAACACGACTGAGTGACACACACACACACACGAAGAATGGTTCCAGCTATGGGGATCTATTTCCTGTGCCTAGAGAGTTTAGGTCTTATTTTTTGTTAACTAGGCCTAGGAGTAGATGTCCAAATCTAGGTTTTATTTTTGATTGAAGAGATATACCTCATTAGAGTTGAATGATAGGCTATCATATGTGATACAGTGCATGGGTTCACACTTCAGATGAGACTCTGCCTCCTATAGTGTTGAGAGATTGCTGACAATATAGTAATTGATCAAATAACCATAGCACATAGACAAAACACCATTCTCAAGAAAGACTAAGACCACTTTCTCACAGGTGTTTATATAAAATGTATTATTACTTGGTAGTATGATTGACTCAGTTATCTGACATATGGAAGTTCCCTTTGTAAACTAGAAAAATTTGTAGAATTGGTAGTTATGAATAATGTGAAACATAGTGTGGTTAATTTGTATGCAGTTAAAAAAAATCAGATTAGGTCTATCTAAACTTTTGTTGAAGTATTCAATATAAATTCAAATTCAGTTTGAAATGTCAGATCTTAGAGACTAGACTAATGGCTGTCAAAGAATGAAAATTTGGAGATATTCTCTTCACATGATTTTATTTTTTAATTTAACTTATTAAATTTTTTACAAAATCATTAATGTCTACCATTATAGACCCAAATTCTTTAAACATAGGAATTGTGATCTTATTAAATCAGTAATCAAGTAGTGAATTGAGTATCTAAGAATAATTTGACTCATTTTTTTTTTTACCAAAAGAACTTTTTGTATATTTCTTAAACTCTGAATAAAGCCTAATAAGATGCAAACTAGAGATAGGCTCAGTCAATAGTGATTGTGAACAACTGACATGAAAACATCATGTGAAAAAGTCTGTTGGTAAATTAATAACTTAAAAAAACATATCTGATCAATGCCAACAATTATTAATATGAATCATCTTTGAAATGACTGAACTGTGACTGTTTATTGAAACTAGTATGATGGAATTTTATTTGAATTAGCTGGTTTTTAGCCAGTTGATAACTTTCTGATTCTAGAGAATACAGATATGTGACATGAAGAGCCATGGAAGATTCCTTCCAGGACTCTTCCTGCAATAAACAGTGTTTACAACTAATCTGAGCATAAAACCAAGCTGTTGCCAGTAAAACTGCATAAACATCCCTGGAAATGACCAAAGTGTTATTCATGAAAATAATTAATCCTAAACAAGATTGGAAGGCTGTCTTTCCCCCTGCAGTATGAGCATTTAATCTCATTTCAGAGGTATAAATTATCCAGAGACCTATAAACAAACATGTACTCTTTATTCCTGCTCTGTAGCTTTAAGGATTCCTTATCTTTGACTTCTGTTTTAAAACTGAGTGTTGCATTCTTTTTGAGTGTTCAAAGTACAGCAAATTTTAGTTTGAGTTTGGCATTAAAACCGACAGCTGTATTGTCATCCTTATTACTGTCTCTCATTAGAGAACTGTCTTCAGTCAAGAGACTTAACTTTCTCAGGCTGAGTTTTAAAACTGTTAATGTTCATATAAATATGTAATATTTATCAAATAGATACTGATTTAAAAGTGTTTCTTTTAATTCATGTTTTTCCTGTCCAATTCAGTGTAATATAAAAGGAGGCCAAAGTCTACAAAACCGGGAAAAGCGTTTTAAGAAGTTTATTTCAGATGGTCCAGGGCCAGCAAGCTATGATCAATCTTATCCTGGAACACTGGCTGTTGTGAACAGGAAAACTCTAGAGGCTAAAAAGCATCTTCAGTCAGTATGTTTCTATTTTGATTTCTGTTCCTAATGACTTTTTTTTATAGTTAAAATAATGTAGAGGTTGTATAATGTTTTATGTGATAAGTACATTTAAAAAACCTTATGGTAAAAATTATCTGGTTTATTAGTATCCATATTGTAGTTCATAATTAAATGAATACTCTGTTTACAAATTTTAGTTTTTTACCTGTATTAACATTTGACTTCATTTTTGCTTTTGATAGAAGTATAATCTCTTCCAGTGTCTGAGGTGAACAGAAAGTAAAGGAGATTTTAAAAGTTGCCATAGTGATTTACATCTGTATATAGAGGAAACTATGTGTTAAGTACTATTAATAATATAGTGAAAATTGAAACATGACTCCTGAAATAAATAAGCTTCAAATTTAGGTTAGAGAGAGATATATAGATCATTAACAATGTAAGATGAAATATGACAGATGCTAAGTGAATGATCATGTGATTAAGTGCAATAGGAACTTAAAGGAAGACTGATGTATTATGGGAAAGCATAGTTTGGAGATAGTTTATAGCAGAGGTTTGTTTTGAAGCATGGGATTGCAATATCCTCTCCAGAGGATCAGTATATCTTTAATAAGTAAATTTTTAGATGACTAAATGATTTAAATGCCAGTATTTTATTTGATATACTTACAGCAGGTGTGTTTGTGTTAGTCACTCAGTCTTGTCTGACTCTTAGTGACCCCATGGACTGTAGCCTGCCAGGTTCCTCTGTCCATAGAATTCTCCAGGCAAGAGTGGGCTGCCATTCCCTTCTTCCTGGGATCTTCCCGATGCAGGGATTGAACACAGGTCTCCTGCATTGGTAAAGGTGAATTCTTTACCATCTGAGCCACCAGGGAAGCCCTATATTTATACTAATATTTCTAATATATGTTACTCCTTCTTGTTTTTATTTAAATTATAAAATATTTTACATTAAAGGAAATTCTGAAAAAACAGATAATCACCTGAAAACTTCTGACTCTTAACACTGATAATTGTTAACTTTTTCAGTGTTAAAACTGTATAGGTATATGACTTTATTGTAGTTTTTCTGTAGTCACTAAGTCATGTTCGACTCTTTTGTGACCCCATGAACTGTATGTAGCCCACCAGGTTCCTCTGTTCATGGGATTTTCCAGGCAGGAACACTGGAGAGGGTTGCTATTTCCTTCTCCAGGGGATCTTCCTCATCCAGGGATTGAACCCCCATCTCCTGCATTGGCAAGTGTGTTCTTTATCACTGAGTCATCTGAGAAGCCATATGACTTTATACACTGACATATATTATTACATAATTTAAATAGCTATAGTCAAAAATTTAATTTTAATTTATATTTTTGATTTCCATTTAATGTTATATCAGATATTTTCCTTGCTACATAGTCTGCAAAATTAGGATTTTTATTCAGGGCACTGGTAAGAGGAACGTAAGTCAGGAGTTGGGGACGAATGAAGCCAGGAAGTGTTAAAGAAAAATGTAAAGTTTGTTTTGGCCTGGCAGATACTATGATTGCATAGCGCAAGTCCACTTGTAATTGCTGATTGTTGATGTGACTTTAGGAATGAATGCCCATTTTTGAAATCACTAATACTTGCTTTACTAAGCAAGATAAAAAACAGCCAAGTGAGGGAGGTTTCTTACCTGCAATAGTGGCTGAAATAGTAGTTTGGTTTGTATTGTGTTTTATGTTACTATTTAATAATAGTTTGATTAAATCTTGGTTTATATTATGAAGTAAGACTTGAATTCACTCTTTTAAATTACTTTTACAAACATTTTTGATTTATATTATAAAACTCATGAAGTCAATACTTAATAGTTGTCTTTTGTAAATTTTAATATTTTATTATTCATTCCTTCTCTTGTCTTTGAGTAAATAGTATCATTTTTTTTTAATAGAAAATGTCAAGGGCACTTACAGTTTTCAGAAGTGTTTATGTTCCTTCAATTCCTTTTGGACGGTCATATGGTTATGATATTAATGAGGATGACAGTATCATAAAACATTTACCACCTACCAGTGACAGCACACTAGGTCCAGCATACTATAAACCTCAAATTGTAAGTATAATACATTTCACATTGACAGTTGGAAGACTATTTATGATTTTGCATGTTTTAGTTAATGTAACACTAACTGCATAACAAATAGACCCCCAAATCTCACTGGCTTAATGCAGCAGAAATTCTTTTTTTTTTCTCATTCATATGGGCGTTTCTTGTTGATAAGAGACTTTCCTCCTTGTATAAATTCAGGAACACAGGCTTATTCCATTCATGTTACTGTCATCTTCAAGGGTCTTGGTGTCATATGTATCCATCCTGTAGAAGGGAAAGAGGACAGAGAACTGCTAGTGGGTTTTTTTCCTAGGCTAGGCCTGGGAGTACACTGAACTTTATATTATTTATTTTATTTTTTATATTTATTTATATAATATTATTTATTATATTATATTATTTATATATAACTTTATATATTCCAGAAAAAGAGGAAATAGGTTTAACTTACTAAAAGTCTTCTGCTGCATTGTATAAGCATATACAATACATAAATATTCTTTTCCTGAATTTGAAAGGGAAAAAGCATTTTCTTTATAAAATAACTTGTTTTTAAAAAAATATTTATTTGCCTGTACCATGTTGTGGCATGTGGGATCTTTATTTGTGTCATGTGGGATCTAGTTACCTGACCAGGGATTGTACTGAGGTCCCCTATATTGGGACTGTAGAGTCTTAGCCACTGGACTACCAGGGAAGTCCTATGACAGAATTTGAATCTAATAAGCATTATTTATTTCATAAGTGATCATTAAGACAGATAAGGAGTCTCTCTCTGATTTAAAATATCAAACATAATATACCAGAGCCATCTTATCCAGGTTTTAAATTTCAAATGAACAAAAACTTCATTCAGTCAGTTGAAATGTATGAGTTATCCATGAGTATAGATATGTCTGATTTTACTTCATTACAAGACTGAAGGACATTGTGCTTTGAATCTGTTGTATTTTTATACTTTTATGGGATCTGGAAGAAGTAATCCTAGTGAGGAAAATGGCAAATTTAGGGTAGGGTTAAGGAGAGGCTGAAGAGACATCTTGGGCAAAGAAAAGATATACTCAGAATTTGGCTTAGCTTTTATTCCCAGTACTTTCTTTTTTTTTTTTAAATTATTTATTTATTTTACTTTACAACATTGTATTGGTTTTGCCATACATTGACTTGAATCCCCCACGGGTGTACATGTGTTCCCCATCCTGAACCCCCCTCCCAACTCCCTCCCCATCCCATCCCTCTGGGTCATCCCAGTGCACCAGCCCTGAGCATCCTGTATCATGTATCAAACCTGGACTGGCGATTCGTTTCACATATGATAATTTACATGTTTTAATGTCATTCTCCCATATCATCCCACCCTCGCCTTCCCCCACAGAGTCCAAAAGACTGTTCAATACATCTCTTGTATTGAATAATGTCTCTCTTGCTGTCTCACGTAAAGGGTTATCATTACCATCTTTCTAAATTCCATATATATGTGTTAGTATACTGTATTGGTGTTTTTCTTTCTGGCTTACTTCACTCTGTATAATAGGCTCCAGTTTCATCCACCTCATTAGAACTGATTCAAATGTATTCTTTTGAAAGCTGTGGTACATATACACAATGGAATATTACTCAACCATCACAGCCTTCTTATCCATTTGTCTGCTGATGAGCATCTAGGTTGCTTCCATGTCCTGTCTATTATAAACAGTGCTGTGATAAACATTGGGGTACACATGTCTCTTTCAAGTCTGGTTTCCTCAGTGTGTATGCCCAGCAGCGGGATTGCTGGGTCATATGGCAGTTCTATTTCCGTTTTTTTAAGGAATCTCTACACTGTTCTCCATAGCGGCTGTACTACTTTGTATTCCCACCAACAGTGTAAGAGGGTTCCCTTTTTTCCACACCCTCTCCAGCATTTATTGCTTGTAGACTTTTGGATAGCAGCCATTCTGACTGGTGTGTAATGGTACCTCATTGTGGTTTTGATTTGCACTTCTCTAATAATGAGTGATGTTGAGCATCTTTTCATGTGTTTGTTAGCCATCTGTATGTCTTCTTTGGAGAAATGTCTGTTTAGTTCTTTGGCCCACTTTTTGATTGGGTCTTTTATTTTTCTGGAATTGAGCTGCAGGAGTTTCTTGTATATTTTTGAGATTAATTCTTTGTCTGTTGCTTCATTTGCTATTATTTTCTCCCATTCTGAAGGTTGCCTTTTCCCTTTGCTTATAGTTTCCTTTGTTGTGCAGAAGCCTTTAATTTTAATTAAGTCCCATTTGTTTATTCTTGCTTTTATTTCCAATATTCTGGGAGATGGGTCGTTGAGGATCCTGCTGTGGTTTATGTCGGAGAGTGTTTTGCCTATGTTTTCCTCTAGGAGTTTTATAGTTTCTGGTCTTACATTTAGATCTTTAATCCATTTTGAGTTTATTTTTGTGTATGGTGTTAGAAAGTGTTCTAGTTTCATTCTTTTACAAGTGGTTGACCAGTTTTCCCAGCACCACTTGTTAAAGAGGTTGTCTTTTTTCCATTGTATATCCTTGCCTCCTTTGTCGAAGATAAGGTGTCCATAGGTGTGTGGATTTATCTCTGGGCTTTCTATTTTGTTCCATTGATCTGTGCTTCTGTCTTTGTGCCAGTACTACACTGTCTTGATGACTGTGGCTTTGTAGTAGAGACTGAAGTTGGGCAGGTTGATGCCTCCAGTTCCATTCTTCTTTCTCAAGATTGCTTTGGCTATTCGAGGTTTTTTGTATTTCCATACAAATTATGAAATTATTTGTTCTAGTTCTCTGAAAAATACCATTGGTAGCTTGATAGGGATTGCATTGAATCTATAGATTGCATTGGGTAGTATACTCATTTTCACTATATTGATTCTTCCCATCCATGAGCACAGTATATTTTTCCATCTATTTGTGTCCTCTTTGATTTCTTTCATCAGTGTTTTATAGTTTTCTATATATAGGTCTTTTGTTTATTTAGGTAGATTTATTCCTAAGTATTTTATTCTTTTTTTTGCAATGGTGAATGGTATTGTTTCCTTCATTTCTCTTTCTGTTTTCTCATTGTTAATGTATAGGAATGCAAGGGATTTCATTTTATATCCTGCAACTTTACTGTATTCATTGATTAGCTCTAGTAATTTTCTGGTAGAGTCTTTAGGGTTTTCTATGTAGAGGATCATGTCATCTGCAAACAGTGAGAGTTTCACTTCTTCTTTTCCAATCTGGATTCCTTTTATTTCTTTATCTGCTCTGACTGCTGTGGCCAAAACTTCCAAAACTATGTTGAATAGTATTGGTGAGAGTGCGCACCCTTGTCTTGTTCCTGACTTTAGGGGAAATGCTTTCAATTTTTTACCATTGAGGATAATGTTTGCTGAGGGTTTGTTATATATAGCTTTCATTATGTTGAGGTATGGTCCTTCTATTCCTGCTTTTTGGAGGGTTTTTATGATAAATGGATGTTGAATTTTGTCAAAGGCTTTCTCTGCATCTATTGAGGTCATCATATGGTTTCCCAATACTTTCTAATGTTTGAACATGTCTCCATTTTTGGGTATAGGCTTAAGCACCTTGTGAAACCATTTGATTTTTGCTAACAGGTATACTATGGCATTTTAGAGTCTTAGATACTTTGAACTGTTAAGTTTTTATTCCTAAAGTATTTTTATTGTAATTTATATAATTGCACATTGACTAGTAAAAACATAAAAACAGATAACCATGTACCCACCATCACATATAACACATAATAAAATTTTATTACACTTGAATTCAGTTCAGTTCAGTTCAGTTGCTCAGTTGTGTCTGACTCTTTATGACACCATAGATTGTAGCCCAACAGGTTCCTCTGTCCATGGGAATTCTCCAGGCCAAGAATACTGGAGTGGGTTGCCATGCCATCCTCCAGGGGATCTTCCCAAACCAGGGATGGAACCCAGGTCTCCTGCATTGCAGGCAGATTCTTTACTGTCTGAGCCACCAGGAAAGCCCATATTAAAAAAAAAATACATTATTACCCTGCCCAAGTTCCCTCCCTCCTTTTGTCTCCCTTTGCAAAAGTAAACAGTGAATCTTTTAGTTCAGTTCTGTTCAGTCACTCAGTCATGCCTGACTCTTTGTGACCCCATGGACTGTAGTACGCCAGGCCTCCCTGTCCATCACCTACTCCTGGAGCTTACTAAACTCGTGTCCATCAAATTGGTGATGCCATCCAACCATCTCATCCTCTGTTGTCCCCTTTTCCTCCTTTAATCACTACGAGCATCAGGGTCTTTTCAAATGAGTCAGTTCTTCACATCAGGTAGCCAAAGTATTAGAGTTTCAGCTTTAGCATCAGTCCTTCCAATGAATATTCAGGACTGATTTCTTTTAGGATGGATTGGTTAGATCTCCTTGTAGTCCAAGGGACTCTTAAGAGTCTTCTCCAACACCACAGTTCAAAAGCATCAATTCTTGAGTGCTCAGCTTTCTTTATAGTCCAACTCTCACATCTATACATGACTACTGGAAAAAACCAAAACTTTGACTAGATGAACCTTTGTCAGCAAAGTAATATCTCTGCTTTTTAATATGCTGTGTAGGTTGGTCATAACTTTTCTTCCAAGGCACAAGTGACTTAATTTCATGGCTTCAGTCACCATCTGCAGTGATTTTGGAGCCCAAAAATATAAAGTCTGTCATTGTTTCCACTGTTTCCCCGTCTATTTGCCATGAAGTGATGGGACTGGATGCCATGATCTTAGTTTTCTGAATGTTGACCTTTAAGCCAACTTTTTCCACTCTCCTCATTCACTTTCATCAAGGGGCTCTTTAGTTCTTCACTTTCTGCCATAAGGGTGGTGTCATCAGCATATCTGAGGTTATTGATATTTCTCCCGGCAGTCTTGATTCCAGCTTGTGCTTCATGCAGCCCAGCATTTTGCATGATGTACCCTGCATATAAATTAAATTAGCAGGGTGACAATATACAGCCTTAACATACTCCTTTCCCAGTTTGGAACCAGTCTGTTG